TCTTTCCTTCTCTAACACGNTGTGCTTTNAGAGTATCCCACCAAAGGCTAGCATANCCCTTAAATCTCAACGTAGCCACCTTAAATTTNTTTTCATCGTCATAAGTNTTNTATTCAAANGCCATCTCCATAGATCTCAACCNATCGAGAAAGTCATCTGGATTCAGATTACCTTNAAAATTAGGGAAATCCACTCTAAAATCTTCTTCACGACGAGGCTGTTGTTGTTGTGGACGATTGTCTCTTCTCCTTCTGCCACGTTCCATAACAATGCTTGGATCAACATCAGAACCATGAGAAGAACCTCTACTTTCAACAGAAGACGTTTCAACTTCCATGTCTTCGTCTCCTTGGCTGATCTTGAACATTCACGCCATTAAAAGCCTGAACCATCTCCCGCATCTGTTGTCTTAGCTCCGCCATCTCTCTGGTGATACGCTCAGCATGCGCTTGCTCAAGAGTGAATCCTCTAGGAAGATCCATCAAAAACGTTTCACAAAGAGAGGATAACCAAAAGTCTTCACTCCAGCAACCTGGATTTGCTCTGATACCACTTTGATGCGTATAGCAGGTAGCGAACAGAGTGAATGAAATAGAGACCGTAACAAAGANAAATTTGAACAGAACTGAAGTAACCAGATAAGAGGAAGATACAGGATCACCACAACTCGTAAAGCCGAAGCACCGGAGCTGATAAAGAAATCCGCTGAGCTAGCACCACTCCTNGATAAAGTTGCCACCACCAGAAGATAAAGACGCTCGAAACCACCACCAATTACTCTCCCAAAATCAAAGGATAAAGGTAAAAGATCTAAACAGATCAAAAGGGGTCACAAAGACACTCCAAATTCTCAAACTCGTTTTCTGATTTTTAATCATGAATAAGAACATCATTATATAGAGAGAATTACAATAAACAAGTCCAAATTAATGCTCTACATGCAGAGCACCTAGAAAACATAATTCAAACTTTATTATGCAAATTAAAGAGAGAGAACAACCTGATTTTAATGCAGTCTTGACGATGGACGAAAATAACTCTTCCTTTGCTTGTTTGGGTCTGAAAACACTTCATTAAACTTATCTTCATCAAATCCAGCCCAAAAGAATGCTCTCCATGTTTTAGTTAATAGGTTGGACCAAAATCAACAAAGTGATAGCCAGCCCGTTCTTCATCTTTACTCCTTGTGTTGTTTCCTTGTCTTGCACGTATGCTCCCGCATCACTCCTCGACCTAGAACGTGTTATTTGGGCTCTTTCAGCCTTGGGTACGTAATCATGATCGATGCTGTAACGCCCGCGAACCAAAATTGGGAAATTTCGTAGTTCATCGATTGACGCATGGTAAAT